TGGCTGGGGGATTCTGGGAGTAGAAATCCACCCCTCTTAAAGCTGCCACGGTTGAGAAACACTGCCCTACATTCATTCTGCATATATACCAGTTTCTCCTGAGATCTAACCCGCTTATTTTTTCCTCCCCAGCTCCCCCGGGGGCCTGTGGCATTACCGGAGGACCTCCGTCCATGCCAGTTGGAGCCAGTTCCAGGGCTGTGATGTTCACTGTAGGATCCCCTCCGAACAGCGCCACCCCTCCCACGTGCACCCACATGGTTCTGCGAGCTCGCACAATGTCAGGTGAGGAAGTGACTCCTTCCGGGTCAAACGGGGGGGGGGTGTCCTTGAGCAGATTCTGACTGGACAGCGACCAGGTGGGGGCGATTCTGAGGCAGCCATTCTCAATCATCCAGGGCATGGTTGCCCCAAATATGCTTTTCAAAAGCATATTTAATCTATATAAATAAAAATGTAAATGTTCGTTTGTTCAAAATCTTAAATCTCCGAAAGTTCTTCACCGATTGCTTTGAAATGTTGACACAACGTTGCATTCGAATACGTGCGTGTTTTTATATACCTACTATTATATAGATGTCACACCTGTGACAGGTAAAAACATGCTTTTTTTGAAAAACAGCGCCATCTGATGGACGTAAAAGCAACACACGCTTTTACCAGACTGAGCCACAGCAACGCGTGGCTGGGTACAGCTAGTATTTAATAAATATTAAATCTGATTATAGTAATGTGGTAAAGGTTTTATAGCGAACTGGATTGATTTGGATTTGGACTTTGTTAAAAGGGCTTTATGTGTTTTTAATATTAGAGATGGTATAATGAGAAAAGAACTGAAATATGGGAAATGATGGAATTAATTATTGGAGTGAAAAACAATAGAATATTGGTGAGAAAGAGAAGAATTTATTTTTGGCGTTAATAACGTTTAAATAAGAAAACACTTGGGGCACCTGAATAGTAAATGAATATGTTAGTTTAAGATTAAATATTTGGAAAATTAAGAAAGCATGATACAGGATCATTGGGATGGATAATGAGTTTGTAAACTTTTATGGATTAATGAAATTTATATAGAGAGTGATATATTCAATGAAAATTTGTCTTAGAAATGTCTTAATGAGCTTATAACAATAAATAGATAGAGAATGTTAGTTTATTTTTAATTATATAACTTGGATGAAATGTTATATTAGTGAATGAATTGGTTTTAGAAAGATATTGACTTGATTATAATATTTTTAAATAAATGGAGGGTTCATTAAGTTTAAGTTTAAATGTGTGAAGAAATATAGGTTTTTATAGATTAAATTTTTTTTGTTGATTAATGCAGTTGATGGTTAGACATAGTAATGAATGAATTCATCTGAAAATGTATTAATTTGATTATAATATCCTATATAGATAGAGAGGGAAATTTTTAAGAAATAATGTGTATATATTTACTATGTTATTGTTTGTTTTTTTTAAAAATGGATCACCATGTTTCCACGTGGGTTCTTAAGCTGTGTTGGTGTAAAATGGAAAACTAATAAAAATTGTTTTGGATTAAAAAAAAAGAAAAGAAAAGAAAACGACACAGGAGCACAAACCCATCTGGACAAGATCCAGAGGTCCATCTGCTTCTGAAAGGCAGAGGTCTCTTGGAGACAGCAAAGTCCACAGTCTGGCCAGAGAGGAAGAGTGGTTTGAAAGAAGGATAAAAGAAATCAGTCCGTTAGACTCCGAGCTGGAAGGGACCTTGGAGGTCTTCTAGTCCAGCCCCCTGCTCAAGCAGGAGACCCCATACGATTTCAGACAAGTTGAGTGTCCCGTCTCCTCTTAAAAACCTCCAGGGATGGAGGCATCCACAACTTCTAGTGGCAAGCTCTTCCACCGGTGAATTGTCCTCACTGTTAGGAAGTTTCTTCTTAATTCCAGGTTGCTTCTCTCCTTGGTTAGTTTCCATCTGTTGCTTCTTTTCCTGCCTTCAGGGGCTTTGGGAAATAAATTTATCCCCTCCTCTTTGTGGCAGTCGCTCAAATACTGGGAGACTGCTATTGTCAACGCTGCAACTACTGTATATTCTTGCTTTGACAATGTGCAGAACTGTCTGGTATATATATAGTTAAACCAGCAACTGGGAGAGAGGGAGGAGCATAAGGATAGCCCGGGAGAAAGAAACCGGAAGTAAATCACATCTTCCAAGTTGATTGGAAGATGTGAACCATGACCCTACAATAAGGGAGTGGAAAATGCTTGGAATGTTATGCATAACGGAAGAGAAGCAGACCTAAGCATTTCCACCATGCTGTACTGACGTATTGTAACCTTAATAAATGCTTT